ATAAGCTGCCACACGTTTCATTGATTCACTATTCATCTCATCTTCTGGACTCGATAATTGCGGTGAATGACTGCAACTCGATATCTGACTATCACCGCCACATCGATTTTGTATGGATTCCACTAAAGTGCGGTCTCCATCACTTAAGCTGCTATCTTCTGAATTTGATTCTTGACCAGTTAAACCAGTAAGAGTTTGTGGTGGTAGTGCCGGTTCTCGACGTAAGTAATCATTAGTTCCTAAATTATATAGATTATCACCCATAGCACCCACATATGTAGCAGCATTCATAGGAACAGCGTCAACTACATCAGAAGATACCTCAATTGTGGGGGTCTGTGATTCAACTGAAGGTATTCCAAGTATTTCTAGACTTTTTGGATCTGTGCTCGGTATATTAAGATAGAAGTATATAATATGTCTGAATTGCGATTTAGCTACCGATTGCAAGTATTCTTGTGCTTCTTTAGTAGGATTTGAATCATATATTACAAATGCCTTTTTGCCTACAAGTGTTGCAACAATCAACGAATTTTCATTCAAATTGAATCGTTTCGCAATAGAACGACGTAATCTGGCATTATTTTCATGTGCTGGTGAGTGCACAAAATATGGTCCGTCCATTTCTTTAAATGTGCTATTTGTTACATACACGTACCAAGTATTTCCAGTGGGTTCATAGACTTCCAGTTCTTGGTCGTCCGCACGATATTCCAACAGAAAGTCATAGGTGCCCTCATGAGCAGCGCGGATATCAGTTAAGGATTTATCTTCTACGTTTTCGAAAGATTGCAGTATTTCCTCTGATGACTGGTCGTAACCAACTAAACGACAATGTGAAAGTGGGGCAAATTCGTCAACATTTAACATTTTGTAAGCATTTTCTAACAAAGCACTTAAATCGAAACTACGAGAAGCTGACACACGAGTCACTTTTAGTTTCTTTTGATTTGGATTGTAGAAATAAACTCGAGGCTTTATATGCTCTGGTAAAGCTAAATCGGGCATTGCATTGTGGCGCCCTATGCGTCGTATGCTTGTATTCGACTCTTCTTCCATTTGTAATTTTTTAAGCAATTGGTTGATGTGTTCAGGAAAATCTTGTACTTTCATAACAGATTCGTTTCGATTACGATCCATTTGTCTATACATTAACATATATGCATTTGTACTTGAGCTGTAAATGCTGGAGTAATACGATTTTGTAGCAGAACCACCAAATGATTTTTGTATGTCCTCTTCCGTTATCTAAAATAAATTTATATTTTAAAGAAATACATAAATTAAATGTTTATAATGCACACAACTTACCGCTGACACAGTTTGGTCATTGAAACTGTACCAGTCATTATTTTCAAATTCTTTTATGTAAGCATAATAATGTCCACCAGATGCACTACCTGAATGTATCATTATAGCAAACAATTCATACAAATATGGACCGGATTCATGTCGACTGCGATGTTCCGCATTCACGCCTGTACTGGTGCTCATATCAATGCCTTCATCATCATCATTCATATCATTCTCATGTTGACTTGAGCAGGCAGTTGTTGCTATACCACTGCTACAATTGTCTTCTTCCATCGCTGAGCCACTATCAGTTGTGCTACAATCATCTGTGGCATTTACTCCATTAATGATATAACCATTTGCTGTGGCAAGAGCCAAATTTGAGGCAACATTACTGTGCGTACTGACGAATGCGTGATCTTCTTTTACATTCACAAAACTATTTAGATTTAAGCTCTGTGGAAACGTGACCCTAATGATTTAAAAATAAAAATAATTATTAATAAAATTAAATATAATTTGTTTGGCTAAAAAATATGTAGTTTGTTAACCAAATTTTTAACAGTTATTCTAAAAACTTATACTTACTTATCATTCAGCTTTATACGGTGCATAGTCTGGTAGTCAAAATCAAAACGCTTCAAATGCAGTGTAAGAACATAAGGGAAATTCTTGAATTTCAGCCCTTTATGTGCATCACATTTTTTGTTACATTTTTCACAGAAATATTGATTGTTTCCATCTAAAATTTCTGGTTGTACAAAAGCACGCAATGCTTCCTCTATGCTGCCATATGCCACATTGCTACCAAATGGTCTAACTGGCAGTGGTATATCCAGAAATGTATCGGCACGTGTCTTCTCTGTATTACATTCTAGACACTTCACATAATCAATCATTTTGCCTTCATATAGATTAGATATCAAGTTGGCTTGTTTTGTGTTTTTAAACTTGTGTTCCAGCGCATCAAACATTACACGGCACAGCTCCTGTATATCGTGCTGCTGCCAAGCTTCAGTTGAATCCCAACCGAAACTACGTGTTAAATCTGTTGTTTCAACCGCTGGTTTTTTAGAAGTCTAAGGAAATGAAATACTTCAATAATATATGAGACACAAAATAAATATGTTTACTGACCTGAAGATTTAAAAACAATTTTTGTAATTGATACGGTATGTTTTTGGCTTCGTTGTCATTATCGAATTCCCAACGGTATAAAGCGTTACGAAACTCAGGCGTCATATATAAAGCCTGTAACAAACTGTTCAAGTAGCAGGTCATAGCTTGATTTACTAAACCAACAAATGATATGCCAGTAATAGTAGCCGTTGAATTTACAGCTGATAGTGGATATTTCCTTTCCAAGAAAGAACTCACATTTTTTTCTGCAGAGTCCATATTTGATGTTGCCATGTAGTCCACATCGAAAGATATTGCATGTGAACTACTAGGAGATGTATGTGCCAGTGCTAAACCTAAACTATTCATTGGTTCACTCTCTGTCGGACTCGCGGAGGCACCTAAGGCTAAGTCATCATCCGACATCTGATCTTGGTCTGATTCAGACATAGGACTGAGATTAAGTGAATTTAACTTATTTTGTGCACATGACATATTGCCCCTTTCAAACCACTTTTCTCCAACTGCACTACAAGTATTTATATTTGAAGTACTTGTAGAAGTGTGTGGTAAAACTAATTCGCTGCTATTTAAAGGTCCTCTTTCTATGGGACTTGCAGAAGCACCTAGAACTAAATCATCATACAAGAGTTGATCCTGATCTGGCTCGGACATAGGACTAACATTTAACGAATCACTTCTTGAGTTATGTGTCATATTTGCGCTCATTACAGAATGAGGCGAAAAGGTGTCATTTAGCCCATTAAAATTATTATTGTTATTATTGTTGTGGGTTGTGATACTGTTCCTTTTGACGATCTTTGCCATATTGCCTTCAGGACTGCTGTTTATTGGATAAAAATCGGAAATTGATGGCAGGGACGTTAAAGTAAGATCGTAGCGTTTTTTTCTATTACCATCCCATTCACCAGTTGGCAGAAGTATTAATATATTTTTTGCCGTCTTCTCAAATCCCGGTACATTGTAAATTAAAGAACTTAAATGATCATTCAAATATACCTGAAATATAAATGAAAAATTTTTATTTCTTTCTAGTTCAATATAAAATCTATTCATCAAATATTATTACCAAGTCTTTAGTTTCAGGTTGTAGAAGCAGATCAAATGTTTCATATCTGTATTGAGTTTTAATGTCACTGATTACTTTCGCCACAGTATTTGTAGGACGGACAATAATGTTAATTCTTTGTTGTTCCGAATTCGGCGTTTTATCATATACAGCACATTGTGTTGTAACATCTCCCTTTTCGATCATGTTGAATGTGTAGGGAAAATCTATCAAATAAAAAGCAAAAATAATAGAGTTTAATAATTAATACAAAAACAGAAATCTCATGGTTCTCTATTATAAAAATATTATTAGTATCGTTTCAGGTTTTATTAAATAAAACATTTGTAGATAAAAAAAAATTTTTTTGAACTGTCACTATTAATGTGCCTATTTTACACATTGTAAGTTTAATGCCTGCCTTTCCATTTAGTTAAGAAAATAGACTATATTCCTATATAGTACGTTTTTATTAGTTTCTCCTTATCAATTATCAATTATCGAGATTAGAAAATAAATTTATGCACTGCCTGTACAGGTGGATCTATAGTCCCCATTGTGAAAATTATTGACTTCTATTTTGATAAGAAAACGGACTAAGTGTGCACTCAAATTGAATCTAGAATAGAAAATATCTTTGTACACTGTGACTACAAGTGAGTCTCTTATACCCACTGTAAGGTCTATTTTTTTTAATGTAAAAATAGACTTTATTGTCGAAGCAAATTTCTTTATGGCTCGTTTCTGTTAATTCCCGCTTGGTAGATTCCATTTGTTGAAGTTGGAACTATCTTTATTTCTATTGTGCCCATTATAAAGATATTAGTTTTTGTTTTGGTGACAAAAACGGATCAGGTTACGAAATGATTTGTTTATAATCAATTTTTGTTAGTTTCTGCTGTCCAATTAGTAACTGTTAAGCTTAGAATAAAGTTGGATTTTTGGTAACACTTCATTATTTTTTCATCTGTACTGCAGAAAGTCCAAGGTTTCTGACGCGTCTTAAAAAATCTTTTTAAACAAACGTCAACCAGTCTTCTGTCGAACTCTTTTTTTACATGAGGCTGTAGCGCCCGACGAGATATCCGTTCGCCATCATCTAGCTTCAGCAGGAAATGGGCTTAGTAACAATATCGGAGTGAGGCAAGTTTAGAGACACTAGATCTACAAAACGTTTATTTCGAAGTTAGCAGCCCTATCACCAAACTCAGATTTCTTTAGGTCAATTCCATCAGCAACTAAACTCAGCACTTATTACAAACAAACAATATATGAAATAGAAACCGAACTGATCAAATGAAGTTGCAAAGACCGTCGTTGCGAATTAAAACATAAACCATCTAACAGAAAACGATGGGGACTCTATGTTAATAGTTTATGTCCCTAATGGGATTGGAACTAATAATAATGATATATAGCGGTATTTGCATTCGCCAGATTCAGATAATATTTAATTAATATAATTAGTATGATTACTTCAAGAATTTTTATTAGTTATAAATATATTATTTAAAACACGTTCTTCACTATCTGAATTTAAAATATTACTGCATATGAAATTGTATATTCACTTGTAACCAGTGACATAGAAATGCTTTTCAAGTCCTATGTCCCTATGTTATAATGTGCATATTTTACTATAAAAATTTATTGGGCATTCTAGTGATAAATTAAAATGACATCAAAAATTGTTGGAAAAATACGTGACCCTTTGACCTCACTTCAGCTGAACATTTCTCCATACTTGCTAGGAATACTGCAATGTAATTTTGTTGTTGCATTGATTTCGCATTTTCCTTCGTTTCACAGTTTACAGTACTTAATGCAAGGACACGTTTTGATTCCTAAGTACATGCTGACAAGGAGGACGATTTTGCATTTTGCAGACGAAAGCTGCATTTCGGTGTAAGCACTTTGCCTTCACCCATTGCAGTCACAACAGACCGAGTACTGTAAGTAATGTGATGAAATTTTCTGACCTACTTTACGACAATATCCTTGAGAATAGTTTTTGTTCTTGAATTGCGAAAAAGTAATAGGAAAGTACGTGTAAAAGGAGAAAAAAAAAAAGATTTTGAAAGGGTAAATCATGTGTAAAGCAATTTCAAGAAATTCACATTATATGCAGAAAAAGTTTTGTCCACGTAGGTATTAAAGAAAAGGTAAAATAAAATAAATAAAAATTCAAATTAAAGAATATTTTAAAAATCATTTTCATATTAGCGTTTTAAATGAATAATGAATTCAGTTTAAAAGGAGCATTTGAATATTCCAAAAATAGTACATTCGTGGACTTAAATTATAATTATGGCCCATGGAAATATTACAGATAAATGGATCATCATACCTAAACAGATATAAGTACATCTGCAACCATATATATTATTTAGCCGTTTACACACAGATACCGCAATACAAATGTATCTAGATAGATGCAGTAACAATTTAAGCAAACCTCGTGGACGCATATTCAGAAAATAATACAAGATAATGTAAAGGATCGTAGATAGTTTTAAATCTGTTTGTCAATGAAAGGTTATATTCCTCAATAAACAAACAGCAAACAGTAGAAACCCAAAGTCTATTAAGAAATGTCAGGCCATATACCTTAATAGGGCAAGCAATGTTAGACAGCGAATAATGGAATCTATATAAAGTATTAATTAATGAATTGATAATTAAAAAGCGATATGTGGTCTTTTAACCCTTGTCCTATAAAAGAATATCAAAAGTGATTGTATTAGAATTTTTGGTTCATAAACATCTTTGGTTTCATGGAGTCGTAAACAAAATAGGCTTCCAATAATATTTTTACCTATAGATTGGCATAGATAGTAAATAAATTGCTACAACTCGACTATTTACCATTTACTTATTAATTTTTTTAGGTGAATATATTAATTAATTTTTAAACTTAAAATCAAATATAAATACATATATATAAAAATCTGTATTTCTACTTTCGGTCAACATTTAATAGAAGACCCAAATAATATAGTCAATAAATTTAGTTAATTTCATGATTTGATTTAAACCAAGCCCAAGCCAAGATTTACAAAAATACCTTATGCAAAGTTCTAATCGATTATCTCTTAAAACTCAGATCTTCGTTTGCTTATTAACAAATAGCCGGGACTAATGACAATCGTTGAATTCTTTAAAAAAAAAATATAAGTTTGGCTACAAAAGCTTCTGTGTAGTTTTCATTAGAGTACTGGAAAAACAGAGAGAATATATATCAAAATATATACATATTCATAGAAAGACCAAAGCAATTTGCTTCATTATGCTAATCAATAATATATTTTATATGATGTGTGCCTTTCTCATTTTCTTAACAAGTTGGGTTTGTTTCAATTATTAAAACGTCGCCTCTTTCTAGGAGGATATGAAGAATTGTTTAGTGTTTATAACTCTCCGAATTTGATGAGTAGCAGGAAAGGTACAGTGACCTCGTCCGACAGCAATTACTCACATTTTCGATATAACCTGGGTTATATTCGAAAGTCTATACATCTTCTGTTTAATCGAAATTAGTGATAGCACAAAAGACGTACTATGGCTGCAGTGATATGTTCCAATGTGGAACGGTTTTCTCACATTATTGTATTCTATTTAATCAAATTATATTGAACTCAATATTATTTTATTTTATTAATGTTCTGTTCGATATTCTGTTCATTATCCTGTTTGATAATCTGTTCAATATTCTGTTTGATATTCGGTTTGTTATCCTGTTCCATATTTTCTTCGATATTCTGTTCAATATTCTGTTTGATTATTCTGTTCGATATTATGTGCGACATTTTGTGCGACATTTTGTTCTATATTCTCTTTGATATTCAGTTTGATATTCTGTTTGACACTCTATTCGATATTTCGTGTGATATTCCTTTTGATATTCTGTTTCATATTTTGATCAATATTTTGTTCGATTCATTTAAATTATATTTGATTTTAGTTAGTTCTTTTTAATTCTATTCTATTCTGTTTTACGATTGTTTATGTTTTATTCACGGTATTATAAACTTAATATTTAATTCATAAAAGTGTAGAGGATATAGAAGAAGCTATATTGTTTTGCACCGTTTTCACAGAAATCAAATCCTGATGTGCACGTAGTCCGGTTCTTTTTGCAAAAATATGTGCACATTTTCTTTTTGCAAAAAAATTTCGCAGACGTCAAATGTTAACAAAAAATTTGCGAATCTTAAAATTTTTCTTTAAAATTTATAAAAACAAAACAATTGCATGGAATATTTTCTACGAATTACTGACGTAGTTGTTGAATATAAAAATATAATTACCAATAAAGGCATTGTATTTTGAAAAGTAATTACCACATAAATTTTTGCGACCGTCAGGAACACTCAAAATAAGCGAATCATTTAGAGAACCAATAAAACATGATGAAGGAGGCAAGGCAATTTAATGGAGCCAAATGCCAAATGCCTTAGTCATTGTTAAAAATTATTAAACTGCAAGCGGATAAAGTAGCAGAAGCGTGAACAAATATGGAGTGAATTTATGTACGAGTATAAAAGAAATAAAAAAAATTAATTATAAATATATACTGAAAACAAAAACATGAAAAAAATTTGCTGAAGAGACTTTGCCACGTTGCACCCAGTACCCGAAAAAATCAAGAATTTAAGCAGTCAACAAAAATCAAAATTCTTATTTAATAACAAAATTAAAAAAAAATTAATGAAGAAATGGAAAATGTTTTTCATTATTCGAATCTCCTGCGCTCCGTTGACCGACCGACCTCTTCTCTTCATAGTCATGACAAATTATGATTTTAAAATTATCCACACCTATTTGGCACTTTTCAGGTATTTTGCCGATTGCTCAAGTTAGTCCACACACACACGACACACTCACCCCCACCATTTATAGGTCGGTGGAGATTTTTAGGCAATTTTAAGCAATACTGCCTCAATTGGCTTCTGGCCAAGAAATGTGTGCAAAAATGTGCACAGCACCGCGCGGCATACAGATTTTATTTCCTGTTTATTTTTTTTTAAATATATTATATGAAACATATTCACATACATGATTTGTTAAATTTTCTTATATATTTAATTTTTTTAAATTAAAAATTATATTTTTGACACAATATACAAATTACTTAATACTTGAGAACTAACTGTTCTCCAACTTTAGAACAATTTTGGAAAAATTTTTAACGTCTAACTATTTTGAGAGACTCTACAAATGGAACTAA